ACAGCTGATCTTTCAGCAGAAACTCTGAAAGCCAGAAGGGAGTGGCAGGACATATTTAAAGTGACGAAAGGGAAAAACCTACACCCAAGATTACTCTACCCAGCAAGGATCTCATTCAGATTCAACAGAGAAATTGAAACCTTTACAGATAAGCAAAAGCTAAGAGAATTCAGCACCACAAAACCAGCTTTACAACAAATGCTAAAGGAACTTCTCTAGGCAGCAAACACAGGAGAAGGAAGAGACCTACAATAACAAACCCAAAACAATTAAGAAAATGGTAATAGGAACATACATATCAATAACTACCTTAAATGTAAATGGGTTAAATGCTCCAACCAAAGGACATAGAGTGGCTGAATGGATACAAAAATAAGACCCATATACATGTTGTCTACAAGTGACCTACTTCAGACCTTGGGACACATACATAATGAAAGTGAGGGGATGGAAAAAGATATTCCATGCAAATGGAAATCAGAAGAAAGCTGGAGAAGCAATTCTCATAACAGACAAAATAGACTTTAAAATAAAGACTATTACAAATGACAAAGAAGGAGACTACATAATGATCTAGGGATTAATCCAAGAAGAAGATACAACAATTATACAAGCACCCGACAAAGGAGCACCTCAGTACATAAGGCAAATGCTAATAGCCATAAAAGGGGAAATCGACAGTAACACAATCATAATAGGGGACTTTAACACCGTATTTTTACCAATGTACAGATCATTCAAAATGAAAATAAATAAGGAAACAGAAGCTTTAAATGACACATTAGACAAGATGGACTTAATTGATATTTACAGGGCATTCCATCCAAAAACAACAGAATACACTTTCTTCTCAAGTGCTCATGAAACATTCTCCAGGATAGATCATATCTTGGGTCACAAATCAAGCCTTGGTAAATTTAAGAAAATTAAAATCGTATGAAGCATCTTTTCTGACCACAGCGCTATGATACTAGATATCAGTTACAGGACAAAAACTGTAAAAAATACAAACACATGGAGGCTAAACAATATGCTACTAAATAACCAAGAGATCACTGAAGAAATAAAAAAAATACCTAGAAACAAATGACAATGAAAACATGATGACCCAAAACCTAGGGGATGCAGCAAAAGCTGTTCTAAGAGGAAGTTTATAGCAATACAGTCCTACCTCAAGAAATAAGAAAATCTCAAATAAAAAACCTAACCTTACACCTAGAGGAACTAGAGAAAGAAGAACAAAACCCAAAGTTAGCAGAAGGAAAGAAATCATAAAGATCAGATCAGAAATACATGAAAAAGAAATGAAGGTAACAAAGATCAATAAAACTAAAAGCTGGTTCTTTGAGGAGATAAACAAAATTGATAAACCATTAGCCAGACTCATCAAGAAAAAAACCAGAAGATTCAAATCAACAGAATTAGAAATGAAAAAGGATAAGTAACAACTGACACTGCAGAAATACCAAGGATCATGAGAGATTACTACAGGCAACTCTATGCCAATAAAACGGACAATCTGGAAGAAATGGACAAATTCTTAGAAATGCACAAACTACCACGACTGAATCAGGAAGAAATAGAAAATATGAACAGACCAATCACAAGCCCTGAAATTGAAACTGTGATTAAAAATCTTCCAACAAAAGCCCAGGACCAGATTGCTGCACAGGCGAATTCTATCAAACATTTAGAGAAGAGTTAACACCTATCCTTCTCAAACTCTTCTAAAATACAGCAGAGGGAGGAACACTCCCAAACTCATTCTACGAGGCCACCATCACCCTGATACCAAAACCAGACCATAATGTTACAAAGAAAGAAAACTACAGGCCAATATCACTGATGAACATAGATGCACAAATCCTCAAGAAAATACTAGCAAACAGAATCCAACAGTACATTAGCTAGATCATACACCATGATCAAGTGGGGTTTATCCCAGGAATGCAAGGATCCTTCAGTATATGCAAATCAATAAATTTGATACACCTATTAACAAACTGAAGGATTAAAACCATATGATAATCTCAATAGGTACAGAAAAAACCTTTCAACAAAATTCGATGCCCATTTATGACAACAACTCTCTAGAAAGTAGGCATAGAGAAAAGCCACCTCAACATAATAAAGGCCATATATGACAGACCCACAGCCAACATGCTTCTCAATTCTTCACAGCAATCAAAGAAGAAAAAGAAATAAAACTAATCCAAATCGGAAAAGAAGAAGTAAAACTGTCACTGTTTGCCGATGTCATAATAGTATACACAGAAAACCCTGAAGATGCTACCAGCAAACTACTAGAGCTAATCAATGAATTTGGTAAAGGACCAGGGTACAAAATTAATGCGCAGAAGTCTCTTGCATTCCTATACACTAATGATGAAAAATCTGAAAGAGAAATTAAGGAAACACTCCCATTTACCATTGCAACAAAAAAGAATAAAATACCTAGGAATAAACCTACCTAAGGAGACAAAACACCTGTATGCAGAAAACTATAAGACACTGATGAAAGAAATTAAAGACAGTACAAACAGATGGAGAGATATACCATGTTCTTGGATTGGAAGAATCAACATTGTGAAAATGACTATACTACCGAAAGCAATCTACAGATTCAATGCAATCCCTATCAAACTACCACTGGCATTTTTCACAGAACTAGAACAGAAAATTTCACAATTTGTTTGGAAACACAAAAGACCCCGAATAGCCAAAGCAATCTTGAGAAAGAAAAATAGAGCTGGAGGAATCAGGCTCCCTGACTTCAAACTATACTACAGTAATCAAGACAGTATGTTACTGGCACAAAAGCAGAAATATAGATCAATGGAACAGGAGAGAAAGCCCAGAGATAAACCCAAACATATATGGCCACCTTATCTTTGATAAAGGAGGCAAGAATATACAATGGAGAAAAGACAGCCTTTTCAGTAAGTGGTGCTGGAAAAACTGACACCTACATGTAAAAGGATGAAATCAGGGCTTCCCTGGTGGCGCAGTGGTTGAAGAGTCCACCTGCTGATGCAGGGGACACGGGTTCGTGCCCCAGTCTGGGAGGATCCCACATGCCGTGGAGTGGCTAGGCCCGTGAGCCATGGCCGCTGAACCTGCGCGTCCAGAGCCTGTGCTCCACAACGGGAGAGGCCACGACAGTGAGAGGCCCGCGTACCGCAAAAACAAACAAACAAAACAACAGATGAATGGATAAAGAAGATGTGGCACATATATACAATGGAATATTACTCAGCCATAAGAAGAAACAAAGTTGAGTTATTTGTAGTGAGGTGGTTGGACGTAGAGTCTGTCATACTGGGTGAAGTAAGTCAGAAAGAGAAAAATACTGTATGCTAACACATATATATGGAATCAAAAAAGAAAGGTTCTGGTAAGCCTAGAGACAGGACGTTTATAAAGATGCAGACATAAAGAATGGACTTGAGGACATGGGAAGGGGAAGGGGAAGCTGGGACAAAATGAGAGAGTGGCATTGACATATATACACTACCAAATGTAAAATAGCTAGTGGGAAGCAGCTGCATAGCACAGGGAGATCAGCTTGGTGCTTTGTGACCACCTAGAGGGTGGTGAGTGAGGGTGGTAGGGAGGTGCAAGAGGGAGGGGAAATGGGGATATGTGTATACATATAGCTGATTCACTTTGTTATACAGCAGAAACTAACACAACATTGTAAAGCAATTATACGCCAGTAAAGTTGTTAAAAAAATAAATAAATAAAGGCTCACCCGTGACTCTCTGAACCCTGTTTTTCACTCCAGACTTAATCTACTTTGTGCTACTTTGTGTATTTTAAGGTTGCTCAGGGATAACACCCTTAAGATTTCTAGAATTCCTTTTTTATTTAGCTGAGAGATTCTTTCAGGCTACACCTGAATTATATGAAATGTTTTCACAAAGGTCTTGTAGCTACATCCTTCATTTTATATATATGTTGAGGCCATCTTTCTGACAAAGCTCTGGATTTGATCTTTCACTGGTTTGAGAGGCTGAAGTTGAGAAATTATTTTCTATCACAAGTCCTGGTGCCTCTCTATTCCTTTTCTTTACTTTCAGAATCATCAGTTCTTTATTTAGCATGTCTCTTTCTTGTAGTGCCTTATCAGATACAGCTATTAAGAGTCAAGTGACACTTTAACATTCTGACTACAAACCTTATTACTCATATACAGAAGTTTATTAGGTACATTCTCTATCACCCAAGTACCCTCAGGTGATAGTTTTACCAACTGCTTCTCTCTATATAGCAGGGAGAGCCCTTTTTCTAGCCTCCTGTAGCCATTCTTTCAGTGCCTTTCTGGATTCCATCTGCCACCAGTATCAAAACCAAGGCCACATATTTTAGGTTTTTGTTACCGCACAACTTATTTCTCTTTCCTCCCATGTTTCTCTCAACTCTCTCAAGCAAGAGAGAGATTTTATTCTCAGGGCGGTTGCAGGGTTCTAAGAGAGGAAGCAGAAATATTCAAGTGTTTTTTCAAACCTCAGCTGACTTCAGGTCTCCTAACATCCTATTGGCCAAAGCAAGTCACATGGACAAGCCCAGACTCTAGGGATCAAGAAATAAACCCCACCCCTTTATTGAGAGAAATTGCAAAGTTACAGAGCAAAGCGTGTGGATATAGATAGGTTATTTATTGGAATAATTAATAAACCCGTCAACCACAGATATTTCAGTTAATCTTCTTTAACAAATTAGACAATATTTCATTTACATGTAATGAAGGGACCCAACCTGAGTTAATCGCTTTTAGTATGCAATTCAATATGCAGTGTTTGAATCGTAAAATTTAATTTTTACCATGTTACATACCATCTCTCTTAGAAGCACATGGTTTCAAATGGGTCTTGCCTACCTTACCTGTAAATCTAAATAGTATGGTGACTTTACCAAAGGAAGATGAGTGGGGTATGTGAAATAGTACAGTTCACTGCCTAAGGCAAGAAAAGTCAATATCTGTCTCTTTGTTCCTCAGGTGATATTTGTGATCACAATCCATGTGAAAATGGAGGTATCTGTGTGTCAGGATTGTCTGATGATTCCTTTTCCTGCGAGTGCCCAGATGGCTTCACAGATCCCAATTGTTCTAGTGTTGTGGAGGTTGGTAAGTGTAAGATTTAAGCATTTCAATAGTTATCCTCTTTGTTTTCATGAGTGACTGACAAATTTGGCTGTCAGTGCATTATGGGTACTCTGCATAAGATTCTTACGTGTTGCTAATTAGTTTACTTCTCTGTAGGCCTCTTAATTTTAACATTTTTATTTTATATTTAAAGTATATTTTTATTCATAGTGCTCTCAAAAAATTTAAAAATATATTTTAGGGATTAACATTGTACTTTAAAGGCACTACATGTACTACTTGAATATAATAAATTTATTTTTCTAATATTAATATACATTTAAATTTTATTTTCACTGGAAAGCAATTCCCAAGTCAATTTATTCAAGTTAGATAGTCACTCTGAATAAAATAGAACTTATTTTAGTGATGGAAAATATTCATCAGTATTTTGTAGCTGTTCTAATCATTACTTTTCTAAGACTGTAACTACATGATGAAAGAAAAAATATTCTAGCTGCATTGTTCTTCAAAGTCTCAAAAACACCCTTGGCAAATATTAGTCAGTGATCACATTTCAAAATGTTTTTCATCTATGAAGTACTTCCTTGGCATGTATAGTTGTGGATTCAGGGTAGCTTCCATAATTTCCAAATAGTTCTCTATTAAGAAGATATCGGTACTTTAAATAATTTAGCACTACTTAAATTTGTATAGAGTTTTTTTCTCTGATTAAAAGTAATACCATGGTTAAGTTGGAAGAAAATTTTTTTCATGTCAGTACAAAGAAGAAAAAAGTGAACTGTATCTCTTCGATATAGGAAAACCAAACATGTATTGGATTAAAGTTCAGTCAGCCAGCATAAACCTTGGAAAAGTCAGAAATGTCCATAGCTTTTCAAAAATAGTTTTAAAGAAGAAAAGTAGTTCTGTCTACAGGAAGGGATCAGTGTGAGTTACTCACCATTATATCTAATGCACCTAACTAGTTCCTTTATGTGTAGTAGGAGCCCAATACCCAATAACTTGGTTGAATGAATGACAGAATAATTAAAGAAAACCACTAACCAGCCATTTTTGGCCACTATTAATTGCATTTTAGTGTGCTTTATTTTTTAAATGTGTTTTAATTGTATTTTTATGTTACATTGGTATGAATGTATTACACTCGAAAAAGTTAATTATATTATTGCTGAAAAGTACTATGTTCATTTGATTCATTTCAAAGACAATTCTCTTTTAAGGCTTTTATTAACTTGCTGTTATTTTAGGGGATTTGATTCAGTGCCATAGAAATAAAAGTGTTGTAACCACTTTGACCAAGTCTCAAATATGTACAGTGAGTTTCAGAGTTTAATATGAGAATTCTATCCTCACAAAAGTCTGTATCTCTGAAGAAAATTAGAATGATAAATATTCCCAACAGGAATATATGAATAGAATAAAAAGAGTTATATTTTAAGCCCACTGACCCCAAATTGGCAGTGCCTTAGATTTGTAGTATATAATGTTTTTGTTGCTACTTTGTAAGAGCCAAATCTGGAACTGAAGAGGCAAATGTGTTGAAATAATTAAGAAACCAGTATCTTTATAGAATTTTGAAGTAACTACTTGAATACTTCAGGCCATATTTTTAAACATTAATTCAACATTTGTCATTTTATCAGAAGAATGATACTATAGGCTGCAACACTTTAAAAACTAAACATACTGCCATATTCCTCTTAGTTCAATGAGACTTTGAGAAATCAAATGCTTATAGAATTAAATTTTACATAGATTCATTATTCTCTGTTATTAAAGCACCTCACATTTCTTTTACCTCTTTGTTAACTCTTGCATATAATCAGGGAATACTGTTTATTGAGTAAAAATACTTAATAGCAATGCCTTTAATATCTAGCCTACCTTATTTTTTGTGTGTCTTCAAAACTAATTATTGGTACAAAATATATGAACATTAGATCATTGAAGACAATCCTGCCTTTTTAATTAAAAAAAAATCTACCACTTTTCTGGAACATTTCTGGGACATTGCTGTTGTTTCCTTACTGTTGGGTAGCACCAGTGCAGAAGAGCAGAGTGTAATGCTAGAATTTTATACCAGAAAAACCTCAAAAGCTATAGGTATTTTGATGTGATATCATAAAAGGCAAAAGAGTTGAACTGTCACCATTGCTGTATTTTTACTTTAACATTAATCCTTGCAAAGATGGAGATATGCTGCTAGCCTTTTGAACCATATATATTTTGTGATTATATGAAGTTCTAAATCACCTTATTAAAACTTGCATTTTGATCTAACTTTAAAAATTATTATTACTCTATACTACAATCAAAAATATACTCTATTGTAGTGCATTTGGAGAGGGGAATTTCAAACATATGCTACTCTCAGAGATAAAAGTTGATTCTTGGTTTTACCTCAAACTTCATTAATTTGCAGTAGCCTTATTATAAGTTCTTGATGCTACTTATTTCAAAGAGACCCTCATCCATTTTTGGACTTTTACTCTTCCCTCGCAAAGCATCTAAGTGTCAGGTAAGCACAAAACACTTTACTCCCTTTGTGACTAATCCTCACATCACTTACATTCCTATGCTACCTGTGGAAGTTTGGAGAAATTAACTTGCTCAGATTTGTGAACTTCATTCACTAGGCAGCATTGCTCTTCTTTGTACTTAATTCTTGATCTGACTGTGTACTCCAATATCCATACTTTATCTCTCTCTATCACTCCCTGTCTCTTTGTCTGCCCACCCAGCACACACACACATCCCCCTTATACAGACATACCTACAGACCATGATGTTCTCAGACTCTTAGAGTTATGAAAACCCACTTCTGATATCCACAAAAGGCAATAGGAGAGCATCTCTATGAGCAAAGGAAAGGAAAAGAGCCTAGTTAACATCCTCTGATTTGAAGACATCAGCCAGATTTACCAGTGTTTGCATAGACGTGCAGTGGACAATGCAACCTTCTCCAGGGGACTGGTAGATAAGCACCATGTGGTTAAGAACCTAATTACTCCCCAGTTACTTGCCCATGTTCTTGAATGGCACTGTGTAGTTTGGAGCCAAATGTTGACACATTTATTTCATAGAAAAATTTCTATTACTAGTGAACATTCTAGCATTCATATATGGAAACCTTGGGAATTATTAAACTGTCCAAGTTCCATGGTATAATTCTCCTCTGTATGCTATCAGAGTATTTCTGTAAACTAATAACAAATATATATATTTAAAACTCAATTACATAGTATATTAATGCAACCAAAGAGGACAGAGTGATTGACTTAAAAAAAATAAAATCTTCGTTTTCATTTATTCTTATTTTTATTTATTTTTATTTTTTGTGGTACGCGGGCCTCTCACTGTTGTGGCCTCTCCCGCTGCAGAGCACAGGCTCCGGATGCACAGGGTCAGCGGCCATGGCTCACGGGCCCAGCCGCTCCGCGGCATGTGGGATCTTCCCGGACCGGGGCACGAACCCGTTTCTCCCGCATCAGCAGGTGGACTCTCAACCACTGCGCCACCAGGGAAGCCCAGTTTTCATTTATTCTTAAACAAATATTTATTTAGCACTGACTAAGTAGTAGTTACCTAATGGTAGAGATACATTGGTAAACAAATTTACAGGAATTACTGTTTATCTAGGAAAGCAGGTAAATAAATAAGTAGATAAATATGATGGGTATTGTAATAGGAGAAGTAGATCGAGCCATTAGAATATAAAGCAGGTGTCCTCTTTTAAGCTAGGTGTCAGAGAATGCATGCCTACCTGAAAAAAATAATATTTTGACATAATTCTAAAAAATAATTTTAATCTACCAGGCAGAAAGCTAAAAGTATTCCAGACAGAGGAAATAATTTTTAGGAAAACTAGGATATAAGAAAAGTTGTAATTCCATGAACTGAAAGAAATTTACTGTGGCTTAAAAGGGGAGAGACATGATGGCCATTAATGAGTCTGGAGATGGTGATGGTGGCAGATTCTGCAGGGTTGCATGATGTTTTGTGGAATTTGGACTTTGTTCTAAGAGTGATGGAGAGAATTTGTACTTTTAGAAGATCACTGTCACTGCAATATGGGGAAAAAAATTAGAGCAGAGTATGGCAGGGGACAATTTGTAGGCCACTGCAGAGACCAGGTCAGACTTGACGATCTTAGCCTGGGTCAGTATAGTAACAAAGAGGATGGAGAGGAGTCAATAAGTATTTAAAGGATACAACAGATAAATTTTCATGACTTACGGGGTTACTGGATAAAAGGGGTTTGTATAAAAGGAGGAGTAAAGAAGAAACATCTCAAATTTCTGGCTTGAGCAACTTGGGGCCATTTACTGAGACAGTGAAAATTGAGGATACACTGGATTGGAAGGCAGAAAATGAGTTGAGTATTTCACATACTGAATTTGAGGAATCTGCTAGACATTCGTAAAGAAGTCTGGCATAGCTCTGGAAGTTATAATTATATAGACAGTGATTTAAGCTCAGGGACTGTATGAATCTGTCCAGAAGCAGAATAACTTTTGAAAAGAAGAGAGGACCAAGAAATGGAAACTGATGAGAGGTTCATCAATAATTAAGCAATAGGTAGAGAAAGTAAAAGCTATAAAGAAGACTGAGAAGGAGTAGTTAGGGAGATAGAAGAGAAACCAGGAAAGCATTGTGCCCCAAAAGTTAAGGGTGGACAGGAATGGGTGTTCAGCAATGTCAAATACTGTGGAGAAGTTGACCAAGGTAAACACTTACATTGATTACCTGTGACTTATGGATGATCTTGCCAAGATCAATTTTGCTGGAGTTGTGAGGAAAGGGCTAGGTTGTGGCACATGGAAGATTTAGAGGAAATTTTTTAAAAAGTAGCTAGGAATACAGGGGAACTTCCTCAACTTGATAAAGAATATCTATAAAAAAAACCTACAGCTACCATCATACTTAATGATGAGAAATTCAAAGCTTTCCCACTAAGATCAGAAACAAGGCAAGGATGGCCCCTCTCACCACTCCATTTTAATATTGTACTGGAAGTG